TTGTATTTTCAAGCAGTTGAATTCCCAGAATAGTACAAAGTGGTACTTCAAAATAAGAATTTAGTCGAGTAACTCAAAAAAGCACCACAAATCACTGCATTGCTTTCCCTTGTTTTTTTTGGTCACTATTTAGCATTAGTTGTTGTTTTAAGGCCCTTTTTTTTGTAATTCCATTGCTCACTGAGTTTTCACAATTTGTAGGCACTCAACCATCACTCAGCTGCAAATACCATTCTTCGATCATTTACCGGTCACACTTTTCCGTTGCGCTGGGCGTTTTCACCCGTCCCAGCCAAAACACGAACTCGAACTGAAATAGCTGTTACACAGGCCAAGACGATAGGCCCCAACGTTGGTAAAACCAGTTAGTCAGCCAACAGACAAAAGCAAACTGCAAATGAAAAAGGCAAAATCAAAATCAAAAATACAAGAATGATAAAAAAATAAGTAATAAAAAAGCTAACAAAACAAATCAACGCAAGCAGCTTAAAGAGTTGACTGCGCAGCCTTCAACAGACAAGTTGAGTTATTCACATTTGTGTGCGTGTGTATGGTGGTGGTGTGTGTGTGTGTGTTGGTCGCATGCGGCTTTGTAATCTTTTCAACAAATTCCATTCCAAGTTGTTTCAATTGTGTTGTTGTTGTTGTTGCACAGACATTGGTGATTTGCTTATTTGATTTTGTTGAATTGAAGTGTGGTGAGTTTCAATTCATAAACTGATCTTAAATACACGAGTGTAGTTGTTGCGCTCTCAAAATAAATTAACAAAATATAAAAACAAAACACAAACAGGTAATAAGTAGTTTTTATTTTGCTTTGCTTTTTCATTTTGCTTTTGCACTTAATTTAAGTCACGTATCAGACGCGCAATGCGGCCGCATACCTTGTTTACTGCCAGCTCCTCCAATGCATTAGCTACGATGGCCATCGATTGTTGACTTGACGGCATTTGTCATTGCGCTGATTTCATATTCACTCTTTTTCGGACACCAAAAAATCAAATAGTGAAATGAGAAAAAATCAGCCAAAAAACTTAAATACAGACTAAATGCTCAAAAAAGTGGCCAACGCATAACCAGGTAAGCGACTTACTAACTACACTCTTTGTTGTGCTCTCACTTCACTGCATTCAACAGTATGGTGAATTTAGTTTTAACTATTGGTGAAACTACATATGTACATACACAAGAGCAGCTGAACAAACAACAAGCGATCAATGTTAAGACTCAACTCTGTCTCATTCAACGCTCAAAATAAGCGCAAATATGAGAGTAACTAAACTACGTACCTACAAAATTGTAACTCTAACCAACAAAGTCACACTGCAGCGTAACACCCAACAAGCGAACGTACAATCACTTGCATTCTTCAATAAATAACCAACTACATAGTACATACAAAAAGTGCAAAAGAAATATACCTAAATGTACAAAAAATATTCAGTGAACGTTCACGCATCGCTCGTGATTAGAGCGATTGAGTGGCAAAAGCGGCCCTCCCTCCACCCCTCTTATAGTCGAGCTAATAGTGACTTAGTGTAAGCATGCGCCACTGCATAGTAGCGCTGCCAAATGAAGCGTTCATCAACACAGACTGACTGGCTGGCTGACTGGCTGGCTGGCTGGCTGGCTAGCAGGCTGACTTACGGCAAGGCTGCATAACTAGGGTTAATGTAATGTTTCACATACAAACATAGTACATACATATGTATGCATGTATGTATGTTTGTCTGCATGCAATACCCACAACTGATTGTGTTTCAATGACAACCAATTTGCGCCTGAAAATATTGCGAAATTCACGTTATTTTACAGCTTCGATTAATGAATGAGCACTAAACGGTCGTCGAGTTTTGCGCTTAAGTCTTTTGTTTGCCAAACGATGTGTAACATGAGGATGCTTTTACAAATTAACTGCACAGCGGCACAGTTAATTAATTTAGCTCATTATTGGTACGAAATGTAATGGCAATTCATATAATTAGTTTGTAAGGCAATATACTTTTACGAATGTTGTGGTTTATGTGCAAATTTCGTATTTGCCACTGCAAAATGTTTTTCATGCAAGTGTTGAAAAATTGCATATTTTTACTGGTTGATAAAGATAACATAGTGGAAAAAAAACAATTCTTAATGGCAAACTGATTTGTTAAGCAGTCTAATTTCAACACACTGCCATTAGCTCGACATTTTACAATGGAATAAAGCCATTAGACTGTTGGTGATAAATGTGTTGATGAAATGTTAGAAACCATTCGACGTAGTCCATGTAAATTATGACATTAACTGAATGATAAGGGGAGCCACAAGTGCACACGGATGCCTCACGAAAAAAAGGTAGATTCTTCAAACAAATCATAAGATTAATAACAATAAGAAGAAAAAGAAGGGTATGGCGTTAAAACTACAAAATCACTGCACAATGGGGCCATTCTCATATTTAGCGGCAAAAACTCAGTTCTTTAAACTTTCGCTTTTTGCAAAGTTTTTTTTGTGTTCAATTTGCAGCAAATTAGCGGGAAGATTTAGAAAATTTATAACAGTCGGCTACAGTGTTCATCCTTAAACAGTTGTTCATACATATTTATGTTTTATTAAACATATTTTTTCAGTTGTGAAGCATTCAGTTATCAAAAAAAGTAAAATATTTTGCAAAATATACTCGCAATATGAATTTTATTATAAATATGGATTCCAACATTTGAGGCATTTAGTCCTTTGTCCTGAAATTAACATGTTTAGTTAAATGTTTGTCTTTAGTACTTATTTTGATATTTGTAATGGGTGGTTTTTCGTGAAACTTAATACACTTTTACCATCTTTCGTGAAGTAGAATTTGTATTGTTAACAATTGTTAAAGGAGTACTATAGATGTAATTCATTGTTAAAACATCATGTTTTTTGTAGTACTATTAGCTTTTGCGAAAAACTGAAAATTGGAAGCAATTAATAGTTTTCATAGAAACTGTCAAGTTAAATTTTTTCATGTAGATAAGCCAATAGCAAGTGACAGTGGCACTACTATTAATGGCAACACAGCTAGGAGGGCGTTCTATCGTGCGGATCTATTAGCATCGATCACGGACGTGACTGTAATTTTTTTTAGAACACATCCACAAGAGTTTAATAGCACTTTTTTGTATTTTTTGGCAACTATGAGTGGTACTGTATGTCAGCCACAATACACAAAATATTAGTGTATTCTTTTTAAATTATAAAAGCTTCACCTGTTCCCCTGTCGTTTCCGCGTAAAGTAATTGTGCTCTTCAAAAGCTCCGAAATGGTGCCAGAACTTTTATTGCCTTTAATTCTCATCAAGCTGCTCGAGAATTCAAATTGTGACTCTGACAATTCCAGCTGTGGCTCTGATAATAGCTCAGAACCGTGGTTTAAATATTCAGTACAGTTATAAGTAGATGACGCTGATGAAACTAAGGATGGTATGTTAACTACGGTGTTACCTTGTCCGCCATACACTTATATCATTATCTTTTTTTTCAGTGAAAGGTTTTTTGTTAATCAATTAAACTACGTACATAAATATATTTAACTTTTCTAGAATTATCTAAAAAACAAATATAAATAAGTTTAATACAATTCAAGAAAATTTTATTTGCCGCCTTCACGCGAGCTATGTGACAGTACCTTACCTGGAGGGTCTGGCTTTTATGTGGATATTTCAAAGAAAAAGATGGAATTTTTTGGCCGTTAGTTTGCCAAAATTTTTAAGCTTAGGCTTAACAAGTTTTAATTTTTTTTTGTAAAAAGCATCTTAATAAGGGAGCCTCTGGTAAAAGGGTTTGCGCACCCCCGCCTAGTTTTCTGAACCACTTTTGTGGCCAGTGGTAATCTGCATGCAAAATTTGGGGGGGCCAGCTCTACTGTAAATAATTTTTGTCGCGAGTTTGGGCTTCTGTCCCATAGCGCACAGAAAGTATAGTGCTTATACACTCATATAAGTTTAGTTTTAAATTTCAATTATTTGTTTATAAAAATATACAGCCCGATTCTGTGCACTTGACAAATTGAAAGTCTTTATAATTTGTCAATTTTTTATTATTTATCAAGAATGGGTATTCTAGCACCAAAGTCAAAATCTCTTTCCTTGATAAATTATCAAGATTGAAAATGCTATTGACAAATTAAAATTTCATGTGAAATGTATAAATTTTGTAATTGTAGAAAAAACTAACAGGGGAAGAATAAAAAATAACGAGTGTTTTTATTTTTTATTTTTTCTTAGTTAATTTCTCAGAAACTGTCAGGCCTTTCGAAAAGTGATGTATATATGGCTTATAGAGAATTTCATTGGCTTTCATTTGCCATTATTCAATTGGTTCGTAAGATATACGTGATTAAGTTGAACCACTTTTTTTAAGCTGAATAAATGATAAATTGCAAATATCTCAAAAACATATCCATAGAAAAAAAATTTAAAATATTAGGATAAATGGCCAAATCTTGTCAATATGCGATTGTCCTAAAGTTGTGGTAAGCATGATGCATGACACCTCCTAACTACTTTCGCCTTTATTAACTTGCAACTAAATGTTTTCAAATCAGTCTGACTGTTAGCGAATATAGTGACGTTCACTGACAGAGGCTTACTATTCCGTCGCCTTCTCTATGGCAAAAATCTCCGCTTAAAACACACTGCAGTTATCAGACAGACCATATGGTTGCCTTATCTGCAGGTGCTTGGAGTATAGACCCGAGCCTATTTTTTCCATCCTTTAGCCATCGGTGTAAAAGTAAAACACAATATTACCCAGTTGGGAAGCAGGTAAGTTTGAAGAAAAGTTATCCGTTTAATATCCCCGCAATTTTCTTATTTTTCAGCCATACTTACTTTTTATAAGTATGTCCCTATTTCAATGTGTATCTTCGATTTTCCTGACTAATAGAGCTGACAATCTACCTAATCGACACATCTTATAAATCCTGAAAGCTTTGTGAAATTTGAAGCTGCTCCAACGAATATGGAAGCCCTTACGACACTTTTCTATATTTACATATTTCATTTCGATGTATGTATTTCAATGACCAGCTCAAAATTTTAGTTTTTGAAAATGTCAGAGCAATTGACTGTCATTCGAAGTACCCTATAATTGTACGAGTACCTCGGGGTTTACAGTACATATATATGTACCATAGTGGACAACTCAGTGACTCACCTCGATACACTCCCGCAACGCAACTGGAAAGTACTAGGAATTTAAACAAAAGAAATAATTAGCAAAAATCGCAATAAAAAATCGTGCCCATTGAAAAAAAAATACTAAAACTGATTGCAGTGATGCACGCATAGTGCAAATATTGAAGGGGGTATTTATAACTCATTTTTACTTCTATGTTCATATGTACATACATATATGATTTTTTGCATACATGCCGGTGCATTGTCATGCATATATATATATATGTATATTCACATGTATGTATGTATGTGCTGAAAGTTCCATTGTGGGCAGCACAATAGTCAACGAAGCGTCGGAAAAGAATCTTAAAATATGCACAAGAATTGCGCCTCCGCCTTCACTACCGCCACCGACGCTACCATCGTTGAAAATGTTGACTTGATACAAAGGCGTAGTAGAAGATTACAGTACGCTCGACTGTTGCGTTGTGGTGGCCATGTAAATGGTGTTTTGTGTGCTGCTGAGGCAATGGCTTTGATGGTGACGGTGACGGTTGTGGTGATGGTGATGGTGACGCTGGCACTAACTGTGGCAAGCGTAACGACTGTAACGTTGTAAATTCCTTTTTTTCTTAATTTTTCTAGCATTTTGTTTTTTTGTTTTTCTCTTATTGCTTCAAAGTATTGTGCCTTATGCGAATTATTTTGCGCCCCAAACGAACAGAAATCGCGCTCTATTCTACACTAAGTATTTATATACGCTTGCATGCAGATATGTCAGTGAGAGGTAAGGTACCTGGTAATAATGCATAATTTGCATGGTATTTACAAAGAAAAAATGCAAAGCACTCTTCACTGATGAGCCATGGTTTTCTATTTCCTGACAAGAGAAAAATGCTTATTTTCTATGTTGTGGTTGAAGGAACTT